GGAAGGAAATCGGACCCGTTTAGTAAGTGTTAAAATAAACTCAGAGTCTCCCTGTGCTGGAGTGTTTCTCAAGGCTCACAATAGCATTCATTACTCAGCTGGCATCGGGTTTGTTTTGCTGGTAACAAAACGATCCACATCCTCTTCCTCCTGTGTGCCAGGCACCTTTTCTCACACTCCTGTTGTCTCTTTTTCTTAATTTCGCTGTAGTTATTCTTGTGCTGTGACATTCCTGGCTTGACGTTTCTGCCTGGTTTACGGAAGGAGTGTGCAGCTCTTAAGCACGTTACTCATCTTTTCATTGTTTTTAAGTCTCTTTTCATCCTTTGTTTTTTCTACCTTAAGTTTCCTGCTTTGAGCTGATTTCATGACCTGGGCTTAGTGCCTGATGAGTGTAAAATTGCACTTTTCACCCTCAGGACACAATGTGTGCTGGCCCTGCAGGCTGGCTTAAGGGTATGAATGAGTGTGAGAGGTAAGAATTCTTCAGCTGAGGATTTCTTTCCTCTCTATTAAAATGATGTGGGATCTTCATCTGCACTCACTCACACCTGCTTTCTACTCTGAGGGAGCTATGTGGGCACAGATTTAAATGAAAGGTTCCGACTGGACATAACAAGTTATTAGAATCACAGAAGGGGATTGGAAGGGGCCCAAAAGACCATCCTGTTCCACTCCCCTGCCACGGGCAGGGACGCCTTCCACTAGACCAGGTTGCTCCAGATCTCCTTGGTGAAATATTTTGAGATCTCTTAATGTGGGCTTGCTTCATTATCTTTCTTCCTCAGTTGTGCCAGCTCTGAAGTTTCAGTGCCAGCTCCTCTGATGTGTGAAAGGCAGAGTCAACAAGGCACAAAAAAGGCTCGAAAAGAGCCAAGTTTCTGAAGGACGCACCGACAAGCAGGGCTGGCTCCTCGGTGATGGAGCTGCAGAGGAGCCTCTGAGCAACCTTTGTCCTCACCTTGTCAGGCTGTGTGGAAGTGCCCTGGGCTTTGTAATTAGGCACAGTTTGAGGCTGGGCTCTACACGTGATTTGTACCGAGGATTTTGAGTCCCTTGGAGCCCTCCAGGCCCTGCAAGGGCTCTGAGCTCTCCCTGGAGCCTTCTCCTCTCCAGGTGAGCACCCCCAGCTCTCCCAGCCTGGCTCCAGCCCTCAGAGCATCCCCATGGCCTCCTCTGGGCTCTCTCCAGCAGCTCCAGGTGCTGCTGCTGTGTCCCCAGGGCTGGGGCAGCTCTGCAGGTGGGGTGTCACCTGGACATTTCTCTGGTGCTCCCCAAGAACTGCCATCCCTCCCCTGAGCCCTTCAGGGGCATCTTTGACACAAGCAGTGCTGTGATGGGTGTGCGACCCAGCAGCGGTGATTTTGGCTGGTTGGAGTGGTGCTGGCTTCGCAGATGGCAGGGTGACCTCTGGCAGGGGCTCTGGCCAGCTACTGGGCACCTTTCAGCAGTGTTGATGAAGGACAAACAACACATCTGAGCTTCCCAAGTGGGAGCTCCAGCTCCTGGGAAGCTCAGAGGAACATGAGGCCTGCCGTGTTTGCTCCAAGATGAGCCAAAAAACGACGACTGCCCAGAGAAGTGCAATCAGCACAGAACCACCGGCTCTGACCTGTCTGCCCAGGCCATCAAGGAGCTTCCTTAAGTACTTCCTTACTGCACCCCTGGGGCACAGCCCGTGGTGCGTTTCCCTGCTTTCCTTCCCCTTTGGCACAGCCTTGGGAACGTGCTGCTTTGAGTCAATGAAGGGAACAGCCTGGGGGCAGAGCAGCCCTGCCTGTGGGACACAGCCCCCCAGATCCTGTACAAACTAACTGGGCATCTCAGCCCCAGCCCTCCCCCCCAAGCCTTCCCAGGGAAAGGTGTGTAATATATGATTTAGAATAGATTTGTGCTCAGGACTAAAAAATACAGTATCCTTTTAAATGGAACCACGTGATGGGAAAGAGCAATATACACAGGATGAATTCCTGTCTCAAAAGATGGTAATTCTGAAGGATTATTCTGTCTAGAAGATATGCCTTGAACACTAAGATGAATATTTGTTGCCAGAACAAGATATTTGGGGGGATTACTGTCTAACAGGATTTCAGCAATCAGAGTATTCCGGGAAAGCCTCTGTTTAGAAGCACCACAAAAAAAGAACATGCATGAATATGTGAAAAAGGACAAAAGGAAACAGGAGGACCATCCTAGAATCCTGTTAACTCTAGAAACAGTATAAAAAAGACCCTGCGAAATCGGTACCCTGTGAACTGCCAGGGTACAGTGCTGCATTAGTCCAGACCCAGTTCACTCAGCACCAATCACCTGGCTCAGCACTGATTTGCTTGTGGCTTTCCCAATTTTATTTTGATTTAATTTAATAAATTCCTTTAATTATTAAATTGACTGATTCATTTATAACAGGTGCATTCCAGAATGAAATGTTTGTCCTTCCTAGTAAGGTGGCTGGTGCTTGTAGAGCCTGAGTAAGCCACGATGTTGCCTTTTGCCTCTGCCTGTAGCTCTCCATGAGCTGTGACAGCCCCTCTTGCCAGGCACCTGTTTCACAGCCACAACCTCTGCCCTCCCCTCCGCTTCCTGCTATTAAACCCCGACTTGCATTGGCCCTAAAGCTCCCTGAGGGAGGCTCTCCTGCCAGAAAAAAATCAGGCTCTGCCTTTCAACGAATTGGTGAGGACTGCACGGGCTCTGCTTGTGTTTACAGCACCCAGAGAAGAAGGTACAACGGGACAGCAAATCATGGACACAACAAAACCCCCAGCGTGCTGTAGAAACGCCCCAGCCCTGGCAGAAGGATAAAAGGTGAGCCATCCACAGCCCCTTCCATCCCGTTTCCGCCTGGCTGAAAAGCAGGATGTGGACAGTAAATCGGGCAGCGACGACGCACGCTGCTGGCGTGGTGCTGACGAGGGTCCCAGCCCTGTGACACATGGCTCCATGTCCTGCCAGCCAGACAGGAAGAGCCCTGGGCTTTGATCTCCAGGAGAGAACCGGGGGCTTAACCATAAAAACAAGGAAATAACTCGCTGCACACATGCCGTTGGTGCAAAATACGAGTCTCTCCTGCCAAGGCAGAGACCTAGAGCTGCTCTCCAGGAGCTGGTTGAGGTAATGATCCCACTCCAAGTAGGATCTTCAGGCTGGGTGCTGCTCAGTTCCTGGTGAGGTTTATGGTGGTTTTCTTCCCCCCATTTTTTCTCCTTCATTGAGAAAACAGCCTAACAAAGGGAAGCACCTGTCCTTACTTGCAATAACACAGAAGTTGACCTTGTAAGCCGACGGCTGAGTTACCTGTGGCACCTGTGGTGACAAAGGGCAAATGACTACCGAGGTGTGTTTGTGATAAAAGCAAGAGCTCAGTAACACAGTGACTGCTCCATAAAATCAGGACATGCTTTCACACAACTACCCTGGTCGATAAGCTGCGAGGGCTGCAGGCTGGAACAGTTTGCTCAGGCTTTAATGGTTGACTCATTAGCGGTTCGATTTGTCTATTTTTACATTGGGAATAAGAAGCTGAGGTGGGAACACTTCCTCTTTCACAGTCTCAGGGTGATGAACTGCAGCTGTCACCAGCACCTCAGCAACACAAGAACTTTATTTACAGGGCACAGCCCTGAGGCGCTAGCACAGAATCATACAAAGGGAAGTGGTTGGAAGGGAGCTTAAAGCTCATCCTGTTCCACTCCCTGCCATGGGCAGGGACACCCTCCAGTACATCAGGTTGCTCAAGGCCTTATCCAACCTGACCTGGAACACCTCCAGGGTTGGAGCATCCACAACTGTCCTAATTTTACCCCAGAATCCTGATTTTAGCCCACTTTGAGCAGGCCTGTGATTGCCCAGCAGCACTGGATGTCATGTACACATTCCCTGCCCTCGCCCCCTTCCTGTTCCCCACCCTAGTGCCCCATGTCCCACACCCCGTGGTGAGAGGGGCCCTGTCTCTCCTCCCTGTTATGTGTAGTAGATATAATTCGCACCATTTCTAGTATGGTATATGTGATATTGAATATTTGTTGGAGTATACACATTTGTATTAGGAGTCCTGCCTACCCTCGCAGGCGAAACCTGGTTTATGTCAAAACCTGATTTACAAGTAAAAGGATGTGGCTCATCAGGAGATGGGCCATATCTGAAGCAATATGGGATGTCCAGGTGACCCGAGACGATATCATGGAAATCCTCCGTTCAGGTACAGGTGAATGCAGGGTTCCCGTAAATTTCATCAAGGGATTCACCAACTCCGGACATCGAATTGTTCTACCTCCTCACCAAGAAAAGAAATCTCATCAAACTATGGGACTCCTAATAGAAGAAAGGACTGATTGCCGAAATCTTGGCCTCAGGCAGAATTTTCCCTATAAAAAACCGTTTGTACCAGATTGGTGGTGTGTGGGCATAGAGGAAAACCTCTGCTGAGGCTGACTTCTTTGTTGCACACCCAGTGCCGACCCCGGGCTTGGCACTTCCTTGTGGCTGGCTAGATAGAATCTGATTGCAAAATAAGTATTTTATTTTTTCATTTTAATTTGGCTGGACAAATTTTCATTTATAGCATCCCTGCGCCCCTCCTGCAGCTCTGGCCCTATCAGCCACCTGCAGGCCCGTGACCTCCTCCTCCCCATGACTTATTCCCTGTCCCCCATCTCTCAGCCCTGTCCCTGGGCACTAGCTCCCATCCCCAACCTCCTAAACCCTGTCTCCAATCCCCCACCGCAGGCCCTATTCCCGGCCCCCTCCTTTGGGCCATGTCCCATGTCCACAGGCCCTACTCCCCACTCTCCAACCCCTAACCCCCATCCTCTGTCCTGCTGTTTCCTCCGCCCTGTCCTCCATGTCCCCATTCACCATGTCTGTGCCCCGTCCCCCATCCTCCGCCCCTGCAGCCCTGTTCTCCATCCTGTCCCCGCGCCCTACCCACGTCCCCCATCCACTTCCGTCCCCTCCCTGCCCCTGTCCCCCACGCTGTCTCCCGGCGGCCAGGCTCCGGTCTCCATCCCGCATGGAGCTCGTCCACATGACTCTGTCCACATGACTCTGCTGTCCCTATCATCGCCTCCCGTTCCATCCCCGCCTCTCGCTCCTACCCCGTCTCCTTCTTCCGTTCCCGTCCCCGTCGCTTTCCCGTGTCCCCGTATCCGTTGCCCGTCTCCGTGGCCCAGCCCGTGCCCCCGTCCCCGTCCCCGTCCCCGTCCCCTGGCTGCCGCCCCGGCGCGGCCCGGTTCGCTGTTGTGCGCTCGCCCCGCCCGTCGGCCCCGGCGGTGTCCCGGCCGTGTCCCCGCGGTGTGCCCGCCATGTCGCGGCGGACGGTGCGGGTGCTGCGGCTGGGCGCGGTGCCGTACGCGGAGGCGCTGCGGGTGCAGGAGCGCTGCGTGGCGGCGGCGCGGGCGGCGCGGGGCCCGGCGGCACTGCCGGGGCCGGCGGCGGGCCGGGGCGGCGCGGAGGCGCTGCCGGCGGAGAGCGTGGTGCTGAGCGAGCCGGCGCAGCCCGTGTACACCTGGGGGCTGCGGGGCGCGCCGGGCGCGGCGGCGGCCGCGGCGCTGCGGGCGCGGGGCGCGGCGCTGGTGGCGGCGCGGCGCGGCGGCCACATCACCTTCCACGGCCCCGGGCAGCTGCTCGCCTTCCCCGTGCTCGACCTGCGCCGCCGCCGCCTCCCTCTCCGCGCCTACGTGGCCGGGCTGGAGGCGCTGGTGCTGCGGCTCTGCCGCCGCCTCGGGCTGGGCGCGGCCCGCGCCCTCCCGCCGCCCTTCACCGGGGTCTGGATGGGCGACAGCAAGCTCTGCGCCATCGGTGAGCGGGGATGGCGCCGGGAGCGCGGGTGTGTCCGTGGAGCCGCACTGGAGAGCCGGCGGTGTTCCACGTGCGGAACGGAAGGCTCCAGGGAGAGCTCAGAGCCCTTTCCAGGGCCCTAAGGGGGCTCCAAGAGAGCTGGAGAGGGGCTGGGGACAAGGGGACAAGGGGGAATGCCAGAGGGCAGGGTTAAGTGGGATGTTGGGAAGCAATTCTTCCCTGTAAAGGTGCTAAGGCCCTGGCACAGTTTGCCCAGAGCAGCTGTGGCTGCCCCTGGATCCCAGTGCCAGGGTGGACATTAGTGCTTGGAGCACCCTGGGACGGTGGGAGGTGTGCCTGCCCATGGAACACCTTCCAGCCCACCCATCCTGGCACTGGGCACCGGGGCAGAGCGCTGTGGGAACCTGCCCCGGAGCTGTAGGCACCGGAGAGGGTGGGTGCACACAGGGGTGGGATTGGCCTCCAGGAGGAGGGGGCAGCACAATTTGGAGCCCCTGCAGCCCACCCAGACCCCAGCACTTTGCACCCCTTGCTCCCAGAGCTGGCTGGCTGCAGCCCAGTCCCCAGCCTTTCCCCCTTCCCTTGCACCCCTCCACATCCTGTACCTCTTCCTGGGACCCTGCAGCCTGGATTTGGGGTCCTGCAGCTCTCCCCATGTCTGAGCCCATTGGAAACTCCAGCGGTGGGAGGTGCTGGGGGATGCAGGGCTGGGGTGGAAGGTCTGGACATGCTGCGCTCCATCTGCCCCATATTTGGGGAGCCTGTCTGTGCATTTTCCCTGGCAGAACCGAGGAGCACAGCTTGGTAGGGGGAGGATGTTTATAGTGATCTGGGCAGTGTGGTCACTCATTCTGTCCCACCAGGGCACCCCTGGTGATGGGGCTGATGGGTGGGTGCTCTTGGCCGTGCAGGTGTGCACTGCGGGAACCACATCACCTCGCACGGGCTGGCGCTGAACTGCTGCACCGACCTCTCCTGGTTTGAGCACATCGTCCCCTGCGGGCTGGAGGGCAAGGGCGTCACCTCGCTGAGCCACGAGCTGGGGCAGCACATCGCCGTCAGCCACGTCCTCGAGCCCTTCCTCGACTCCTTCCAGGAGGTGTTTGACTGCACTTTGGTCTCTTCAGAAGACCCTGGGGATTAGAATTGTTGTGGTGCCTTGGCCGGGTGTTTTGGCAAAGCCACGGCGCAGCCAGTGGGCATCAGGGCATTGCCGGGGGTCTCTGTTGTGAGATGAGTTCTTGTGCCTTTGCCTGTAGACTGTGACTGGGCCTTGGCACAGGGTTTCAGGCTGCTGCTCGACCATCCAAACCTCCCCTGGGGCTGTTCTCTCCAGCCCTGTGAGTCTCCATCCCTCGGCTGAAATGTCCATGGGTACCATTTGCTGGGGAAGTACCCGAACAGGTGCTTTTGTGGGGTTTTTTTCTGCTTTTTGCCCCACAAAAATTAAAGATTTGTGTGAATGCTCATGAATTCACATGAATTCTCATGAATTCACATGAATTCTCATGAATTCACATGAATTTGTGTGGCTTGAGCATCCTTCCCTTGCTGATGGGTAAGAAGAGGCAGAATTTATATATGTAAAGAGAGTTGCTGTGAACTTTGGCTGCCAATCCTTTTCTCATTTATTTACCCCAAGACTTTATATGTGACAACCTTTTTCTCACCCTGAGCCCAGGGATTTCCTCACACGGCAAAGATCCTGGTGCCAGGGAGGGTGGAAAATGGCTGTAAACACTGGTGGAAAGGCCACTGGAGTGCTGCGGATGCAGTGGAAAAGGGGGAGAAGGAGGGAAAAGGGTTGGAAGGAGAGAAGCCACGGCTGTCATGGATCCTGTGGGACCACACAACATTCCAGCTGGGCAGTGGAAACCTGCTCCCACGGGGTCTGTGGTGCTGGAGGAGGTGCTGCTGTCAGCACTTCTGAAATCGCTGTCCCAGCTGCAGCATCATAAGCTGATTTAATGGACGGGTTTATTCAAGGGGGAGAAGTCAGCCTGAGGCTGGAGTACCCACACCCTGCTCAGAGTAAGACCTGACCCCCACCCAGAGCCCCTCACTGCTGCTCTGGGCCTTCTCCCTGCCCCACAAGCTTTGGGGTTTCTCTGCTGCTGCACAGCACTGGCAGCTCCGTGTGAGCCCCCCTTAGTGCCCAGTGGGGCTGGAAAGGGGGGAAAATCCCATTTCACGGAGCAGGCTGAGCTCCAAGAGGGAACGGGGAGCAGGAAGAACATGCCCAGGAAGGCTCTGTGCCAAGGGTGAGGGCTCGGGGACAGCGGTGCTGGACGAGGAGGGACAGGAAAGCGTGGCTGTCAGCGTGTGCCGGGGAGGCGTGGAGGGAGCCCCGCTCTGCCGCCCCACAAAGCCCCGGTGTCCGGCTGGAGCGAGGGGCCCTGGCAGCGCCCATGGGGCTGGGGACGGGCCGGTGGCTGCGACGGGGCTGGCTGGCTGCGGCAGGTGGCTCTGCCCGGGAAGGGGAGGAGGCTGGCAGCGCTCCCAGCCCGGCCGGCATCCCTCCCCGCCGGCAGCGATGCTCAGTCCTGGCTCAGCCTGGCAGCAGCGCGGGCAGAGAGGACACACGAGGTGAGTACGAGCCCCACTTCCCACGCCCTGTCGCCCGCTCCTCTCCCTGTCCTTGCAGCCCCCCTAAGGTGGGTCCCCCCAAGGCGTGCCCCATCTGTGGGTCTCCTCCTGGGATAAACCCAGATCTTGCCCCAAACCTCCCAAATTCAACCTACTTCTCTTAAGTCAGGAATGCAGCCAGATCCGATGTCATCCCCGTGGGCTCGTGGGCTCGTGGCTGCTCAGCCTCTTCTTCCTCCTCTTCCTCCTCCTTGCAGCTGGGGTCTCATCCTGGGAGGTGCCCCCCGAGTTGAGGGTGACCCATTTGGGATCAGCTGCCTCTGCACAAGTAGAGCTTCAGGTGCAGCAGGCAAGGGGTGCTGGGGAACTGCTGGGGGCAGGCTGGATACCTGAGGGGACTACAGTGGGGACTGGCATGTCCCAAAGGATGGCACACGTGGGAGACTGTGTCCCATGTGCCTGTCCTGGGGCCCCAGCAAGTTGTGAAGTTGCACAAGGGAGCCCAGGGGGCTGGCGGAGGGGCACCATGCCAAAGGAGGGATGGAAGGTCAGAGGGGATCTGGCACCCAAAGGGAAGGGAAATCCCCAGGGAGGTTCAGAGCAGCAACCCCTCAAGATGGGTTCACATCGATCTGTGGGGGAGGGACTGTTCCAGCTCTGCACCCTGCAGTGGTGCAGGGTATGTGCCCACCATCCCCACACATCCCTGGGGAAAGCAGACTTTGGACCCAGCCCTCCTGCTCCCTGTGGAGCAGGGAGCATTGTCCCCAGTGGTGGGGAGGAGAGAGGGCCAGGCAGCTGCCCCAGAGCCCTGGGAGATTTATCTCTTCCATGGAAGGACTGAAATTTAGGGAGAGGGCTGCCAGAAATGCAAAGGGTTTGGCCACCTTGCTTTGTGGCAGAGGAAGTGCTTCGAGGGGCAGTTTGGGGTCAGTGCTGGGAACACCTCTGCTGTGAGGGCAGCCCCCTCTGAGCCCCCTGTCCTTCCCTGCAGCCTGCGGAGGACATGGATGAGAACAACCGCACTTTGGAGTCTTGGCACCAAAGCCTGCAGGCAGTGCTGAACGCCCTGAACCAGACGCTGCACGGGGCCATCCCCTGCTCCGGCGAGGCCTCGGCCGGCGTGGCAGGAGCCACACGTGGTGGCCATGCTGGCCGCAACGCCAACGCCTACATGTACATCCTGTTCGTCATGACGCTCTTCGCTGCCACCGTGGGCAGCCTCATCCTGGGCTACACCCGCTCCCGCAAGGTGGACAAGCGCAGCGACCCCTACCACATCTACATCAAGAACAGGGTCTCCATGATCTGAGCCTGGCCCATACCTTGTCCCCAGGGTGGCTTGGAGTCACCTTGCTGTGCACATCCTGCTCGCTGCGGGATGTGGCAGTGCTGCTGGCTCCAGAGCTGCTGGGAACCCCGTAGAGCTGCTGAGAACCCCCCGAAGCTGCTGAGAACCCCCAGAGCTGCTGGAACCCCCACCATGGAGGAGCTCAGTCCTGGTGTGAGCAGTGCCGGGATGTCCTGGAAGAATGTGACCTGTAAGCAGGTCCTGGTCCTGCGGACCCACCTCGGTTCCACCATGGGCGTGGGGCTGGCAGGGGCAGCCAGTGGCCTGCGGGGGCTGGCAGGAGGCGTCAAGGAGAATATTTCCCCATTTCCCTACTCAGATCAGCTGGTGTTGACCTCCCTGGGCTCCTAGCAGCCATGACAGTGGTTAGGGGGTTTTTCTGGTGCTGAAACCCTGTAATGTTTGAGCTGGGCTGGGCCCTGCTTTTCTGGCAGGGAATTAAAGGAGGTGGTGGGTTCACGGGACTTGTGTTTGCTTCTTGTCCGAGCAAAGCTGGTGTCTGGGGCAATCCATGAGGCACGGCTCTGTGCCAGAATCCAGGGGATGCTGAAAGGGCTAAACCTGCTGCCTGTGTGCTGCCAAGGTGGGTTCGAGGGCAGCCCTTGGGTGGCATCACAGCTTCCAGATGGGACAAATCCCCGGGATGGAGCAAGGTCTGCACTCCCAGCTGGCCATGTGTCCCCGCTGCTGTGCAGGCAGCGCTGCTGGAGCTGTGGGCACGCTGTGAGTGTGGCCTGAGCCCGGCCAGAGGCGTGTGGCTCCAAGCATCTCCCAAGGCCTCTCCACGCTCCGGATGGTGATGCCGGACTCTTTCCTGCTTCCTTCCTGCTGTCAGCTGTAGCTTTGGCCTTTTGTACTGCAGGTCCCAAATGTGTTTTCCATGGGGTGAGGGTGCAGCAGGGGACGGGAAGGGATGTTCTTGGGTCCTGCTGGCCTCCTTGGCTTTGACTCTGCTGTTAAGCTGACCGAGTTTGGACCTGGCCTGTGGAGTGGCCAGTGTCCAGGACAGTAAATGACCCTGTCCTTCAAAACAGGCTGTGGGGCAGCGCCAGTGTCTTACACGTCTTAACCTGTTGGTAATGGCATAATGAATGTCTTTAATTGCAGCTAGATTAGCTGGCCCATAGGGGCCTTTCCGCCTGCATTCCAAGGTTAAACACAGTTGCAATCCTGAGCCCAAACACTGACGCCAAACCCTAATCCAAAAAATAATAGTGGATGTGAGTGTGTTTGGGGTAGGGCTGGAAACCTTGGCACCAGAGGCACCAGCACAGCAGCAGCCTAGCGACCGATTCCTGGTTTGCCGTGCCTTTGGCTTGGGAACAAAGCCTGGAGCAGGGGGGAATGGGAAGCCCATTTTGGGGCTGGTCCCACCGCGTTTCCTGAGCCAGGCAGGGCTTTCTGGGGTGCAGGTGTCCTCCGGCACCTGGCTCAAGCGGGAAGTAGCTCCAGAGGCTTTGCTCTGTTTATCCGGCACCTGCAACCCTGGGAAATGAAAATAAACCTTTATCTGCAAATAAACCAGGGGAATGGGGCCAGGCAGGGACAGAGACATGCTGTGCTGATCCTTTTCCTCCTCCTCCCCTGGGTTTGTCCTCCTCCAACGCCAGCCCCTCCTGTGGGATGGGCCATGCAACAGCCAGGGCCGGGATGTGGGACCCTGAGATGGGATGGGGGCTGGATACTGAGCGTGGTCCCCCAAAACCCCCCTGGGATGTGGAATTCTTGCTTTTCCCACTTTTGGGAGAGAGGGATGAATTCGGTGACTCTGGAATCTCTTCTGATGCTGTGGCCCAAGGGGAAAAACCCTGTTGAAGGATAGCATGTCATAAAAATTTGGGGGGTGGGGGGGAAATGCTGCTTATCCCTAATCTGGAAGATTCTGAGGGTGCAAATCCGTCCTGCAAGACACAGCTCCTGCAGCAATGGTTACCCACCCGACCTGCGATCCACTGGCAGCTCCGCTGTCCACCCAGCCCTGCCGGTAAATTTGGAGCAGAGTCTGTGGCGGAGCAGGGCAGGGCAGGGGGGACACCCCAGGTGCCCCCACTCTGGAGTGGCCGGCTGGATGCCACCAGGCTGGGTCACAAGATGCCAGTGCCACCTTGTGGCAGCTGCCTCAGGGTCCTGGTGTCACATGCCCAGGACACCCCTGGGGCAAGAGCAAGGACTTGTATTGGTGGGACCTCTGTCTGTCTTTGTCCCCATGGCTCCCCCAGCTCCAGCCTGGCCGGTGTCCCCGTGGGATCCACGGTCTGGTGCAGCCTGACAAACCTCCTCAGCAGCGGATTGTGCTGGGCTGCTCTGAGGGCTATGGAAGCAGGGATACATGAAGGAAGGATGGATTTGGGAGCCCCCTGGAATGGGTTTGCTTCTGGAGCCAGGGAAAGGGTTTTGCAACTCTTTAGATGCTCATGCTAGAGCTCAGAGATTCTTCCTGAGCCAATGGGTTCTGGCCTCACCTCCCTGGGCTAATGCTCCCTGGGTAACACTCACAGGGCTTTTGTTAGCAGCAAGGAGATGCTCTCAGCACGCAGAGAGAAGAGCTGGGAGTGTGCCGGTCCTGGCTGAATCCCTAAATCCAACTCAGCAAACTGTAGCTGGCTACATTTGGGTTTTAAGCAATGCAGCTGGGAAAAAACATAAGGCTCCTTGGAGGCCAATCTATTGAAGACATTTTTCGTTGGCACACAGCAATGGATCATGGGTGAGACGGTGTCTGGTGCTTGGAAAAGGATATCAAAACGTGTAGGAAGTTTGGGCTGACCTTGGCTTAGCGGATCAATGGCTGGATTGTCAGGGCAGCCGGAATCACAGGAACCCGTTCCTGGGGCCGCTTTGATGCTGGATGTTCCGATAAGGAAGGCACAAGGTGAAATGAGAGCGGCCCAGGGTGAGAGCAGTGAATGCTGGGCAGGTTGCCTCGGGTTGTGCTGGTTTGGAATGGGTGGCAGAGCCTGGCTGAGCAGTGGGAAGCAGTGTTCCCGGGGAGCTGCTCCTCCAGGAGAGCTGGCAGAGCTCTGTGGGAGTGCTGTGTTCAGAGGGAGCAGCCAGGGAAGAGCTGCTCTCCCCTCAGCAGTGCTGAGCCAGGCTCACATCACCAGGGCTGCTGTGCAGCATGAGGGACAGAGGGGCCACGATGGGGAAGGTTGATTTTGGGAATCCAAACATTTTGGGAATCCGGGAATGGTGAAGGGACCTGCTTCTGCCCTTCCTTTTTGGGACCAGAGCAGAGGTTTTTCTAGTGGCTCTGAGCTGCACGTTACAAACGGCTTTTAGAGCATATTTAGAGTGTTATGCTCCTGAGGAATCTAAGGAGTGTGCTGCCAGTGCCAGAGGGTGTGGGATCAGGCCTTCCCGAAGCTGACATCATGAAGCATTGAGCCAGGGGCAGTTGCAGAACTTCAAAAGCCGTTTCCTCATGCCAGTACTCCCTGTTGTGTCCTTCCCACGTGCCAGCCTGGGCTTTGTGTCCATGCTCTGTCTGCAGAGCGCCTGCCCTTCTTCAGGACAAAGCCCTTCTGCTGCCACCCCAGATCTGCTTAAAAATGGGCATTCCAACCCAAAAAGGCACCTGTGCCCCTGCCCTGTGGTGGCAGCCTGGCAGGGATGTCCTCGCTGCCTGCCTGCAGCACTGCACTCTCTTCCCTTCAATGTGCAGTTCTGGGAGGGAAGGGAAGGCCGGGAGGTGCTGTGTCATTATCAGGGAGCCTGAGAGGCCCGGGAGAACAATCAGGGTGTTCAGGAGACATAAATAATAAAATTATAAACCGAAAATCATGCCCAGCGCTGAGAGGCTCAGCCATCACCAGCTGCAGGAGCACACGGGGGTCATCCTGCATGGCCCCAGCTCTCTGCAGAAACCGGGAGTGGAAAAGCAGCTGGAATGGCATGGGAGTTCCAGGCTGTTTGGCCACAATGTGGAATAAACAGAATAAACGGTGCAAATAACCATGGAAACACTGCTCCCACTGGCCTCTGGCAGCTGGGAGATCATGGGGCTGCTCCCGTTTGTTGTGCACGAGGGTTTGGGCTGTGGAACCAGATCCCTGAGGATGCTAATGGGATGGGAGGGATGCTTCTGGTCCTTCTGGTGGGCTGATCCCCCAGCGTGGGCAGCTGGGGAGGGGATTCTGCCCCTCTGTCCTGTGCCCAGGTGAGACCCCACCTGCAGAGCTGCCCCAGCCCTGGGACACAGCAGGAGGAGCTAGAGCTGCTGGAGAGAGCCCAGAAGAGGCACCAGGATGATCAGAGGGATTGAGCTTCTCTGCTGTGTGGAAAGGCTGAGATTGTTTAGCCCAGATTAGAGAAGCTCCAGGGTGACCCGATTGTGGTCTTCCAGCACCTGAAAGGAACCTACATAAAAGACAGAGAGACTTTTTACAAGGGTTCAGGACAAGTCTGTCTCAAACTGACAGAGAATTGGTCTAGATGAGGGATGAGGAGGAAATTCTTTGCCCAGAGAAGCTGCCCCATCCTTGGCAGTGCCCAAGAGCAGGCTGCATGGGGCTTGGAGCAGCCTGGGCTAGTGGGAGGTGTCTCTGCCATGGCAGGGCAGGGACTAGAATAGATCCAGTCCCAGATGTGCCCCTGGGTTTCCCCTGGCAGGGCTTTCCCTGGCTGCAGGACAATGTCTGCATGGTGCCATGGCCCCGCGTGACACTCCTGCTCCCTTTAGCCCGGGAGAAGCCGTTCCCTCCTGCTGAGCCCTGCCACACTCCTCACTGGCCCTGGCAGCTCCTAGCACACGAGCTGGTGGCTGGCAGCAGCCTGGCAAGCCTTCTCCTGGTAGCCTGGCTCCCATCCATGGCTGGCAGCCTGGTCTGACGGTCCCCGGGCTGTCGCCGCTGCTCCCTTGACATGCGGCGCCTCAGCGGGGCGGAACGAGGCGTGAGGGGGAAAACAGAGAAACCTCGGCTTTCCTTCCCCCACAGGCTGATTGCCGATGGACTGGCTTGTTTTCCACCACCGTGAGGACTGGAAAATGCTGCTGCTAGCAACAGATGAGAAGAGGCGTTTGTGCTGGCAGGCCTGGGATCCCCCTGAGCGCTGCGCTGGACCCCTGCATGCTCGTGCCAGCAGATGGGACTGGGCTGAACTTTCCTGGAGCAAGATAATCAGCTTTAAAAATTCTTCTGGAGCCTGATTAACCCTCAGATGTACAGGATTTAGTTGTCATCTCGCATCTCCATCAGCAGATCTAAGCTGTATCACTGTAATCTTTTTCCATGATTGCCCTGCTCTGGAGCTGCTTGGAGCATCTGCCACAGGCTGCCTCGAAGCTAGAGATCCAAAGCCTTCTCACGGGGACACATTTGGGAACTAATCACCACTTCCCAAGGTGGGGAGCACTGGTGAGATCCTGGGAAGTATCAAACCCTCTGTGCTGCAGTTATTCCTGGCAAGGAAATCACTTCTATCCTGCATGAGACTATTTTGTTCAGGGGAGTAATCATGGA